GCATCCGCTAGACTAGTGATATGCATGTCGACGACATCGTCTTCCTACTAGAAACGAGCTTAGCTGTCGCGTCTGAGGTCACTCCCGTGTGTCACTGTTCAAACAAAAGTTATTCGTAGCAATTATGAACTAGCAAAATGTACCCTCTGTCTTCCCCGATCTGTGTCCCTGCATACTTTATCATTACATACCGCGCGTAGTCACGCACCAGAGAGGAACCGTGTGCCTTTCTCTTTTTGTTGATATTTTTAAACTCCTACCTTCCTCACTTCTCGCGGGTGTTTGTGTTTGTCTGTGTGTGTGTGTGTGTGTGTGTGTGTGTGTGCGCGGGAGAGAGAGAGAGAGAGAGAGAGAGAGAGAGAGAGAGAGAGCGGGAGAACGATAGAGCATGTCCAATGTGCAAGGACAGCGTGCTGCAGGCAGGAAGCGAGGCGCCGAATTGATAAGGATCGTGTGACGACGACAACGACACACGCACACTCGCACACACACATGTGAATACTGACAGAAGTGAATATCCTAGAGGCGCTGTGGGTGCACCAGGCGATGCTGATGGCGGCGAGCAAGCTGCCAAACACGCCACTGAAACAAAGAACAAGCGGCATGCCATACCATGCGGTGAGAAGCAGTCTGCGCATCACATGATCACGAGGACACGTCAAGAGTAACGCGTGGATCCACCAAACCACGCACACGTGTTCACACACACACACACACACACACACACACACACACACACACACACACACACACACACACACACATCAACGCACACAGACACACAGACCTAAGGCTGAGGAGAATGGCAATGGAGGAGAGGCCAACCATGGGCAAGAGGCTGTAGCCAAGCACACTTGCCGTGCGACTCAGCGACACAGATATGTGCGGTGACTGTGTCATCAAGCTCAACACCTACAAACACATGCGCACGCACACACACACACAAATCACCGCACACACACACATACAGAGTAGCAATGCATGTGGTGACACAGCGCAGCGGCAGCGAAACCGAAAAGGTTGTGAGGACGGCAGCAGAAGCAACCAAAAAAAAAAAAAAAACACGCAGGAAGCGCTCACGCACAGCAAGACGCACATGCGAACACGTGCTAGCATGCATGTACACCCTTCACACTGCTCACCGTGTACATGCCAAGACAGCCAACCACTGCCACGCCGTACACGGAACCAAACTCAAGCTTCCCACTCTGATAGAAAGGAACATCAGTCAAGAGGGTGAGCATTGGAATGGTGAGAGACGGTCAACGACCAAATAAGTCAGCACGAAGGGCATCCTACACACACACACACACACACACACACACACACACACACACACACACACACACACACACACACACACACACACACACACACACACACACACACACACAAACACACACACACACAAAACACACACACACACACACACAAACACACACACACACGCACACGCACACACGCACACACGCACACGCACACACGCACACGCACACACGCACACGCACACACGCACACGCACACACGCACACGCACATATATGCGCGCACCATGAGAAGGAAGGCGCTGTAAGCCACACAAAACACCAGGGGCCCCGCCAAGTCTGTGTCGTCCATGAGGTGTGAGTCGACCGCCTTCGTGACATTGAGCACAGCGCCAGTCTTGTCGGCAATGTGGCGGAAGTTGATGCCCAGCTCTGGAAGTGTGGCGAGTGAAAGGGGAACAGCGTGAGAGAAACACCCACGGTGTTGGTGGCCAATGAAAGCCTTTTCGAGTAGCAGGTTATCTTTTCAAAAGAACTCACAACGTTACATCCATACGCACGCTGTCAGAATAATACCTTGCAAGAGCGGCTCTTCCTCATCGTCGTCAGAGGCAAAGGCGGACCCCTGTGAGCCAATAGACCCTGTGGGCTGGAAGAACGTTTGCTGCATCCCACCAAATCCACCGCTGAAGCCGCTGGAGCCACCAGTGGCGCCCGTCCCCATCTGAGGGATGGGAGGCGGCTGGGGAACGAACGTTGGTTGTGGCAATCCACCCTGCTGTTGCGGCAAGGGTTGGAACTGTGCTGCCTGTGGTTGCTGTTGTTGGTGGTGTTGGTGATGGTGGGGGTGACGATGCTGTGCTTGCTGCCCACCGTACCCCGCGGGCTGCTGCTGCTGATGCTGCTGCTGTTGTGCCATCTCCGCAGCGGCATCCCCGCCTTCGTCGTACCAGTCCATATCAATCGTCGCAGACATGCTTGGGTGCTGGCTTGCTTTGTGTGCTGTGGTGGTGTTCGTGCTTCCGGTGGTTGGCAGTTGCTGTTGGGTTTTGTAATTGCTGATGTCAGCAAAATATGGACGTGTCACAACAGCACAAAAAGCAATAAAACATCTTCGCCACGTCATAGATGTCAGGGTTCACGCGAAGGATAGCGTTTGTGAAAACGTACCGGGGCAAAACAGTCATTCGCTAATTTTCCGTCACGCTGTGAAGACACCTGGCGATTGCCTGCAAGCAAGTTTGCGAGGAGATGCGCCAAGGAAGCGCTCTGTGGTCGAAACACCTCAATGCGTCCCATCAAATGACGACAGCTGCTGCGCACGAGTCTCCAAGCCACACTTTCCCACGTGAGAGCTGAGCTTGTCTCAATGCCTCATGCACGAATTCCTCACAAACCTTTGCGACAAACGAACAACCGCACCCAAAACCGACCCAGGAGGCTAGCCAGGCGCGACGACCAAGACCACGAACACAGCTGTGCCTGCGAGCGTGTGCAAGTGTAGGAGTGTGTGAGTGTGTGAGTGTGTGTGTGTGTGAGCTTGTGAGTGTGTGTGTGTGTGTGTGTGAGTGTGTGAGAGAGGTTGTCTGTAACCTGTCTCATAGATCAGCAACAAGGCGAATAGGCAGGCAGTAACGTACTACGGCTTCCCTGCCCACAGCAACGACTATGAACAGTGGGCACCTTCACCTTCGCCATGGAGGCCGAGCGCTGCGGGCCAGAGCTCGCGTGGCGCTTGCCCTTCTCGCAGTTGTGGTCGCGGCCCTGAGTGTCAGCGGGCAACAACAGCAGTACGAAGCGCCCCAGGCATGGGCGAACGACATCAGCTCCACCACCCCCAGCCAGCTGTCGTTTGGCGACTTCTTCTCCGTCGACGCCGCGACGTTCTTCTCCACCATCTACCAGCAGGACACGTTTGTGGACAACACGGTTCGCCAGGCGCAGCTGCTGCCGGCGCTGGACCAGGTGGTTGCGCCACTCGGCGACGTCGATGCCCTCTGCCGCGCCTTTGAGAACCAAGACAAGCAGACTGGCGGCTTTCACGTGAGTGGATGTGTGGCTGTGGTTGTGTTCTTGTGGTTGGTTGTGGTTGTGGTTGTGGTGTGTGTGTGTGTGTGTTTGCATTCTTTGTGGTTGTGTGTGTGTGTGTGTTCTTTGTGTTTGTATTCTTTGCGGGTCTTGAGTACGTATGTGCCTGCTCTATCTCCTTCGTTCACTGCACACATCTCACAAACACCCCCTCTCCTTCCCCTCCCTCTCCCGTCGCACTCACTCCCCTCTCTGCCTGCGATCCCCCCCACACACACACACACACAAAACAGATGAAGGAGCAAGGCGAGACACGGCAGGTGTCCTCGTGCAAGCAGATGGAGGACGAGCTGGCCGCAGGCGCTGGCTTGCTTATCCGCTACGAGGACCTCGTGGACTTCCCCGCAGAGGACAACGTCAAGCAGCTGCAGGAAGGCGTGCGCGACGTGTTTGGCACAGAGTCCACCGTGCACCTGTACCACGCCACGCAGAACGAGTCGCGCGCCCTCATGCCGCACACAGACCCCTACGATGTCCTCGTGATTCAGCTTCACGGCTCAAAGCGCTGGACAACCTGCATCCCAGACGCATACGCCACCAGCGGCAGCGACGACACCACGGAGGACCACAGCGACAGCCACCCCGATGAGAAAGCTGCTTCGTCCAGCAACGGCCAACAACAGCACGGCCACGGCGAGGCAGAGACCATCAAGCAGTTCAACCCGGCCCAGCTGGGCCAGCTGCAGGAGATCCGGCGCCAGAAGCAAGAAGGGTGCACGCGCTACGAGGACAGGGACCTGCGCGGCATGCGCTGCAACGAGTTCACGCTGCGTGCCGGCGACACCATGTACATGCCCAAGGGCATCATCCACTACGCCGTGTCTGGCGCAGAGGGCTCATCCCACCTCACCATCTCGCTGGAGCGCAGGGGCCTGGCGTGGGCCGATGCGCTCGTGTACGCCGCACACGCCGGCGCAGACATTGTGGACAACACGGCCTTCACCAAGCACTGGCAGCGGGCGCTGCAGTCGCTCATCAGCGACTACCGCGGCGTGCAGCTGCTGGAGGCCATGCCGTCCTGGCACCTCAACACGGGCGCGCTGTGCCCGAGCCACGACGCCACCAAGGAGAAGGACGATGGCACGAGCGAGGAGGGCACGACCGGCGGTGAGGAGGGCGAGGAGCTTACGGCTTTTATTGGGTCGTTCATGGCCCAGTGCGAAGCGATGCAGCCGCACGTGCTCGAGTCGTACACCACGGCCAACGACCTGGAGGCGTTCCTCAACCCGGACGGCATCGAGGCGCTGGCTGACCGCGTGTGCAGCGAGGACACGGCCCGGGCCGTCGTCAGCGAGCTCTGTGCACAGGGCAAGATGCCCGTGGACGTGACGTCCCCGTTCTTCCGCATCCAGGCACTCAGGGTAAGTTGCCAACGCTTCGTGTTGTGTTTGTTCAGTTTCATGGTTTCACGCAAACAGCGCACTTGCTTGCCAGCCGCTAACACACACACACAACACACACAACACACACACACACACAACACACACACACACACAACACACAACACATACCACACACACACGCAATCATCATGACAGGAGCGTCGGAGGAGGAATACTGTGAGAGCATCGTACACGTGTGATTCAAACTGCAACACGGGCTGCGACGGGTAAGTTGTGGAGCTGTGCGATGCGTTTTCTTGCCCAGCCATTACAACGTCTCAAGACACAAGGTTGTGATGCTAAGTCTCCCTTGCTCTGTCTCGAAAACATGACATTCCTTCCTGATGCTCGTGTGTGTGTGTGTGTGTGCTTGTTGACACAGGCAATCATGTTCGAACTGCGACGACAACTGCAACTCAGGCTGTAAGTCTCAGACGAATTCATCACCTTGCTTCTTTGCCCTCGTTCATTGCGGGAAGGCATGTGTGCGCTTGCATTCTCACGCCTGTTGCTTGTGCATGATGCATCATCAACAATATCAGGCGACGACGACTGCAACGAATGCGATGCAAGCTGTGATGGCTGCAACGGACAATCGTAAGTGGCCGTGTTGGTGCGTGCGTGTGCTTACAATTCAGCAAGTCGATGACCTCATACTTTCATATCCATTTGAGATTAACACCGCTCTGCCTGTCGTTTCTGGGTTGCTCTTGGATGTGTGCAGGTGCACAGGATCATGCGATGAGAGCTGCGACAGATGCCTCGGCTCGTGTGACACCAGCTGCGATGAAGTCACTGGCTGCATGTAGTGAGTGCCCGCGTGTGTTCTTTCTTGTATGCACTGTTCGTTGAGATTCCTTTTGTCTGTGTTCTTGGTTCGTGGCTCGCCCTCTCTGGCATTTCTCTCCGGCCATACTCTCGCTCATCTTCTCACATTGAATCGATGATCGCACCGTCTTTCCTGTTCCAGTTATTGCGACCAGTGCGTCAACTTGCCTTATGACTATTATTATAATTACTATTATGATTACAGAAGGCTGTGCTACGAGAACTGCCACGTGGGTTACAACTGCCAACCCAGTAAGTGCGTGCGCGTGCGCGTGCGTGTGCATGCGAGTGGGTACTTGTGTGTGTGTGTGTGTGTGTGTGTGTGTGTGTGTGTGTGTGTGTGTGTGTAAGCTCATTTGCATGTGCGCACAGCTCTCTTTTTTTTGCCGTGACTCCCCTCTCACGTGCCTCCATCTCACTCACACACACTCACATCCCGTCTCAACTTGGCAGCAAGCTGCGACGACTCGTGCAACAGCAACTGCAACGCTGGTCAGTCAGTGTTTGTGCTTTGTACCTCTGTTGCGTTTGCTTGCCTTCGTGTTGATGCTCTTGGCACTTTTCCCTTTTGTGTGTGTGCGCGCATGTCATCGTCACTCATTGCCACTGATCGCCATGTCATTGCACATGCGGCAGATTGTAACGCCGGCTGCGACAGCAGCTGCACCCCCACGGGCTGTAACTTCAACTGCGACAGCTCCTGTGATGGGCCGTGTGACGCGTACGTTTTGTGAAACTTGCAAGTTTGCCTGCTTGCATGCACACACACACACACACACAACCACTCAAACCAGGTGTGCTTTGTGCTGAACCTTCGCGAACCTCACATCATGCCATCGCCGCTCACCATCACAACCCATTCCCTTTTCCATCTGTGTTGCCCACCCTCCACTCAATACAGTGGCTGCGATGACAGTTGCGACGCTGGCTGTGATACATGCGTGGGCATCAGCTGCGATGACTCGTGTGATGGCTCGTGCTCGTGCAATGCCGGCTACGCTGGCAGCGGCATGTCGTGCAGCGCGTGCAACACACCGTACTACAGCCCAAGCGCGGGCGCCAGCTCCTGCACCCCGTGTGGCTCGTGCTCGTCTGGGCAGTACCGTGCCAACTGCGGCGGCACCAGTGGCGGCACGTGCACCTCGTGTGCATCGTGCCCAGCAGGGCAGGAGCGACGAGGCTGCTCCGGCACAAGCCCAGGCGGCTGCGCCAACTGCAACTCAGGGTCAGTTGCGGTATGCCTGTTGTGTGTGAAACTGTGGTTTGTGGCGTCTGGACACGTTGTCACGTGATCATGATCATTGCTCCTTCAGCGCTTGCGTGACCACGAGACCACGCGTACTCTCTCTCTCTCTCTCTCTCTCTCCCTCTCTCTCTCTCTCCCTCTCTCTCTCTCTCCACTGCACTCATTCGCCACACCACTCACACACAACCACACACGAACAAACGCAACGCCTTGCTTGCAGGACATACAAGACGACGCAAGGAACGCACAGCTGCAGCGCGTGTGGCAGCTGCAGTGCTGGTTACTACCTGTCGGGCTGCGGCGGCACAAGCGCGGGCTCCTGCGTCGGCATTGCGTGCACGACGCCCCCGACGGTCAACCACGCTTCATTTACAACAAGCAACAGCCGCAAGTACCCGAGCACGGCAACGTACACGTGCGCCACGGGCTACCTGATTGAGAGCAACGACAAGCTGTCGTGCAAGACAGATGGCTCGTGGAGCGGTGTCACGCCGCACTGCATTGGTGTTCCATGCCAGGAGCTCGCCCTGGATCACGGCTCCGTGTCGCCATCGGGCGTCATTCGCCATCCAAACACTGCATGTGAGTGCGTGTGCGTGTTTTGTGCGTGTGCGTGCGTGCGTGCGTGTGTGCTTGTGTGAGCTGTGCGTATTCCTTGTGAACGTGTGTGCGTGTGCGTGAAAATGTCTGCCATGATGCCAACACCATCACGACTATCAGTCAGTTCCCTTTTCATCAGTTCCTTCATCACCAGTTGCCTCACCATCTCCCCGTTCCCCACCCTTGACTCACGCCTTCGCCCTCACACTCCTTCCCCCAACTCCCCATCATACTTGTTCCAACCATCACCAACACTGCCACGACACGAACAGCGTTCAGCTGCGAGGTTGGATATGAGCTGACAGACACGGCGCCCGCCAGATGCCAGGCAGACGGCACGTGGTCTGCGGTGCCCAGCTGCGTTGGCCGCCTGTGCGAGTCGCTGGCCATCCCCAACCACGCCAGCGTGTCGTACAGCAACAACCGCCTGTACCCGACCACGGCCACCTACACGTGCGACCCCGGCTACGAGATCAGCACCGGGGATGCGCAGCGGCAGTGCATTGCCAGCACGGGCGCCTTTGGCGGCACAGAGGCAACGTGCATTGGCATCACGTGCAACACCCTGACGCCACCAGACCACGGCAGCATCACCTCCATCACCAACAACGGCAGGTACCCGGCACAGGCGGCGTACGCGTGCGACCCGGGCTACGAGCCCGTCGGCGCCAGCACCACCATCGACTGCCAAACAGATGCGAGCTGGAGCCCCGAGCCGCCCACGTGCCGCGGCGTGCTGTGCGCCGATCCAAACATCGCCAACGCGCAGACCACGCGATCATCTGAGCGCTACCCTGCTGATGCAACAGTGGCGTGCGACCCCGGGCATGGCATGGCTGGCCCTGTTGAGCTGACGTGCAGCACCGCGGGCACATGGGGCGAGCTGCCCACGTGCACGCAGTGCCCCGTGGACACATACCCACCGACGCCCACGGAGGCGTGCGTGTCGTGCCCAGCCGGCACATCCACCAACGGCCAAGCTGGCGCGAACCAGTGCGAGTGCATTCCCGGCTACGAGCCGAGTGGCGATGGCCTCACATGCGTCCCCTGCCGTGGTGAGTGTGCTGTGGGTGACCACGGGTGCTTGCATATGCTTGTGCTGTGTGTATGTGTGTGTGTGTTTGCGTGTGTGTGTACGTGTACGTGTGTACGTGTCATGTGAGTACATGTGTGTGAGGTGGTGTCATGTGTGTTTGTGGTGGCTCCATGCACCAATCGTGCGTATCAGTCGTGTATTCGTGTACTCGTTGCAGTCATCATTCACCCTCACCCTGCCCCCCCCCCCCAACACACACCCATGCACACATGTATAGACAACTTCTTCAAGGGAGAGTGTGGCAATGCCATGTGCGAGCCATGTGCGGCCGGCTACCAGACGGAGAACAGCGACTTTACCCAGTGTGTCGGCGTTCCGTGCGATCCAAGCTTTGCGTCATGTGTTGTTTGTGTTGTTTTGTGTGTGTGTTGTTTTGTGTGTGTGTGTGTGTGTGTGTGTGTGTGTGTTGCTCGTGCGCGAATGTGGCATGACAAGTATGGTTGCAGCGTCGCCTTGATATCGCACCACAGCCTCACACCCTTGCACCTACTCACACATACACGCACATATGCACACACACACATACACACACACGCACACATGCTCTCGCACACACACGCACACTCCCGCACTTGCACCCACCACAGATTGAGTTTGGGGATCCCACGAGCACAGAGAGCGTGCGCTACCCGGCCGTCATCCCGTATGTGTGCGAGCTCGGCTTCCACGCCGTGGACGACCTGGACACCATCACCTGCAACACAGACGGCACATGGACACAGACCTGCAACACAGACGGCACATGGACACAGATCCCGTCCTGCACATACACATGCGTGTGTGTGTGTGTGTGTGTGTGTGTGTGTGTGCAAACGGATTTGTTTGTTTGACTGTGCTGTACACTCCCACAACGATTGAATGAGTGAACGAATGCATGCCTCTTGCTTGCTCCTAAAATACTTGGTCCACCCACTCATATCACCCTACTCACGAAAACACACGCATACACACACACACACACGTACAATACACTCTCCTTCCCCCTCTTCTGTCCTCCCTCCATTACCCCCCCCCCCCGGCCTGGGCTCAGGCATGATTGTTGAAGGGGAGGAGTGCGATGACGGCGATTCCATGGGCGGCGACGGGTGCTCCGCAGACTGCAAGCTGGAGGACACGCACGCGTGCATTGAGCAGGGCAAGGACTGCGTGTACTGCAACTTCACGTCGCGGCCAGAGCCACTCGCCCTGGCGTGCGACGACCCGGACTTTGCCTTCAAGGTGGACGCGTGGGCAAGCATTGCGGGCTCGGCAGACGTGCTGGACCACGAGCACTGCGGCTCGCCCACGTTCACGTACATGAGCACAAACCACACGGCAGGGCACCTGCCCAACTGCTACAAGCGGCTGTTTGACTTCCACGCCGTCTTCAACGACGGCAAGGTGGACGAGATCGTGCTTGGGCGGCTGACGGTGACGGACAACAACACGCCATGGTTTGCCACGGTGCCGGAGCGCAACGTGAGTGCGGAGTGCCACGTTGTGCCGCCGGTGGCCAACCTGACGGCACCAGACGTGTGCATCCCGGACGGCGGGGCGCGGGTGACGGCGACGCAGACGCGCGTGGACGGCCGCTGCCCGTACGAGTACACACTGCAGCGCACGTGGGTGGCAGACGACGGGTGCGGCAACACCAACAGCACGCAGCAGGTGGTGAGCGTGTTTGACAGCACGGCGCCCGTGTTTGACGCGGAGCTGGCGGACCAGACGTTGGAGTGCGGCGCAAACGTGACGCGGGACGTGGCGGCGGTGATGCAGCGGAACGCGCGCGTGCAGGTGACGGACAACTGCAGCCCGACGCTGACGATGGAGACGGAGATGCTTGGGCTGAGCCTTGCGCAGTGTGGCGGGACCGGCGACGTGCGGTTCCGCGTGACGGCGACGGACCAGTGCGGCCTCTCCTCGCAGCAGGACGTGCACATTGCGATTGAGGACACGCAGCCGCCCGTGGGCGCCAACGTGCCCGCCAGCGTGACTGCGGAGTGCAGCGCGGTGCCGCCGCTTGCGCCGGGCGTGTTTGCCGTGGACGCGTGTGGCGAGCGCAGGTACGACGCCGTGACGGCGGAGGAGCGGGTTGACGGCGCGTGCGCACACGCGTATGTGCTGCGGCGCACGTTCACCTTCACGGACGTGTGCAGCAACAGCATCACATATGTGCAGAACGTGACGGTGCGCGACACGACGGGCCCGCGCATCACGCGGCAGCCGGACCCGCTTCGGCTGGAGTGCGATGGCGAGGACAACGAGGCGGTGATCCAGGCGTGGCTGGACGCGCACGGCGGGGCAGAGGCCGAGGACAAGTGCAGCAGCGCGGACCAGATCACGTGGCACCACGACTACGAGCGGGTGCAGTCGCTGTTTGAGCAGACGTGCCGGGACGTTGTGAACGTGACGTTCATGGCCGTGGACGACTGCGGGCAGGGGACACCCGTGAGCGCCGCGATTGTGCTGACGGACACGCGTCCGCCCGTGTTCCTGGAGGAGGCCGAGGATCAGATGGTGACGTGCGATGTGGCGGTGACGATGCCCGCACCACGGGCGTACGACAACTGCACGGGCGAGATTGAGGCGACGTACACGGACGCACGCATGGACGGGGCGTGCCCGTTCCAGTACGGCGTGGTGCGCACGTGGGTTGCGGTGGACGGCTGCGGCCTCAACGCCACCACCAAGCACGCGCTCACCGTGACAGACAACATCCCGCCGGTCATCAGCAAGCCCGCCGTGGACACGGTGGTGGAGTGTGTGGCGGAGAACAACACGCGCGCGCTGCAGATGTACCTGGAGGCGCACGGGTACGCGGAGGCGCGGGAGCCGTGCGGGGAGGTGGCGTGGTTCTACTCGGACCGCTCCGTGCAGCTGGACGAGACGAGCGGGCCGCTTGCGTCGCAGGACGTCAACACGACCGGCGGGTGCTCGACGACGTTCACGGCGGACGTGACCTTCTATGCGGTGGACGAGTGCAACAACGTCGCGCCGACGTCGGCGACGTTCACCATTGCGGACCGTGTGGGCCCCGTGCCCGTGGACACGCTGCCCGCTGTGCTGCCTGCGTCGTGCGACGCGGTGCCGGGCATCCCGGACCTGCGCATGCGGGACGCGTGCTCGACCAAGGAGACGGTGGTGAGCGGGTTTGAGGAGCGCGTGGACGGGCGGTGCCCGCACACGTACGACCTGAAGCGGACGTGGCTGGCGGAGGACGACTGCCTCAACACGGGGACGGCGCAGCAGACGGTGGAGGTCTCCGACACGACGGGCCCGCGCGTGGTGCAGGCGCCGACAGACCTGCATGTGGACTGCAACGGCGAGACAGACGCGCAGGTGCAGGCGTGGCTGGACACGCACGGCAACGCGATGGCGGTGGACAACTGTGACGAGAACAGCGCGGACCTGACGTGGACGCACAACTACGAGGAGGTGCGGCGCACGCTGCAGCGCGGGTGCGGAAACAACAACGTGACGGTGACGTTCACGGTGCGGGACCTGTGCGGCAACCCGACGAGGACGACGGCGCAGCTGATTGTGGCGGACACGACGCCGCCGTTCTTCACGCGGCTGCCGTCGCACGCGCAGCACCAGTGCGACGCGGACACGAACGAGGACGTGCTGCAGGCGTTTATTGAGATGAACGGCGGGGCGGTTGCCGCGGACCTGTGCTCGGCAACGCACGACCTGGCGTGGACGCACAGCATCGAGGAGACGACGACGTGCGGCATGGCGGCAAACCTGACGGTGCGGTTCACGGCGACAGACCGGTGCAACAACAGCGCGAGCGCGTCTGCGGTGATTGCGTTTGTGGACACGGAGAAGCCGCACATTGAGCTGTACGGAGACAACCCGATGGTGGCGGACTACGGGTACACGTGGCTGGACCCCTCTGTGCGGCTGGCGACGGACCGGTGCCACTCGGAGGTCACGGCACAGGTGTCGTCGCAGGACAACGTGAACACGTCAGCGATTGGCGACTACACGGTGGTGTACCGCGTTGCGGACCCCTGCGGGCACGTGCAGACGGCGACGCGCACGGTGGAGGTGCGGGACACGGAGCCGCCGAAGATCCGCGGGATTGGGCCGCAGGTGCTGTTTATCCGGGAGGGCACGGTGTACGTGGACGAGGGCGCGACGGCGTGGGACAACTACTGGCCCACGGTGAAGCTTGACGGGTTTGTTGTTGTTAACGGGATGGAGCAGACGAACCTGACGGCGTCTGCCTCTATTGCGGGGAGCGAGTCGTTCACGGTGACGTACAGGGCTGTGGACGGCAGCGGGAACGAGGGCGTGCGGCACGTGCGCACGGTGTTTGTGCTGCCGCCGCCCGACCACGGCACGGCGACGGCGACGGCGACGTTTGTGTTTGACACGGCGCTGTCTGTGCGGCGCATTGAGCCGGCGGCGCGCACGGCGAGCGGGGGCGCGTACTATGTTGTGCGGGCTGTTGTGACGAGCCCGACGGAGCGGGTGGTGCCGCGGCGGCTGCGGCTGCAGTTTGGCGGGGAGATCCACGGGTACGCGGAGGAAGGCACGATTGCGCGCGCCGAGGCCGGCACGGGGGACGACGGGCACGAGGTGCAGGTGATCCTTGGTGAGCAGGCGGGCGACGGTGTGCGGGCGGCGCAGGAGCTTGAGAGCGTGCTTGCGACGGGCGCGACTGCGGTGCGGGTGGTGTCGTTCCACGGCTCGACGCTGCGCAACCCGTGGTTCTGCGGCGGGGTGACGCTGGTCGACGACATCCTGAGCCGGGAGGGCCGCACGGTTGTGGACGCGCAGTGCGACGGGTGCCTGTGCACGTATGTTGCGCGGCAGCCGTCGGCCGGGGACGAGTTTGATGTGCCGCGGCTGGAGGCGAGCATGCAGTGGCACGTGACGGTGCGTGCGCTGCGCGCTGGCGAGGACATTGACCTTGACCACCTGAAGGAGAAGCTGGTGCAGTTTGGCGTTGTGCCCGTGCGCGTGCAGCACGGTGGTGGAGGGGCGAAGGACGTGGCGACGTTTGTGACGCGGTCGCGGGTGCCGGGCGGGCCGAACGCGCTGTGGCCTGCGCGGGTGTCTGTTGTGTCTGTGCAGCCTGTGGTTGCCACGCAGCTTGTGCTTGAGGTGAGTTCCGGGGTGCGCAACGTGACGCTGCTGAGCTCGCTGTATGCGGCGCGCATTGTGCCTGAGACGGTAGAGTTTGCGCCTGTGCTGGGGCGGCCCGCGCGGGCGACGCTGACGCTGACGACGCACAACGACGTGACGGAGTTTGTGTTGCTGACGCTGGCGGATGTTGGGTCGTCGTGGATGCACCGGCTTGTGTCTGTGTCGTATGTGGCGCCGACGGCGACGGCGACGCCGTCCTGGCCCTTCAACTACACGCTGTGCGCATCCGACGACGCGCAGCCGGTACGATGCACGTGGGGTTGTTGGTTGTTGTGTGAGTGGTTGGTTGTGCTTTGTGCTTTGTGGGAAGTGTGAACCGTGTTTTGTCTGGACGTGGCTGCAGTCATATATGAAGTCGAAACGTGTGTGTGTGCCTGTGGTGTGTGTGTGTGTGTGTGTGTGTGTGTGCCTGTGGTGTGTGTGTGTGCAGTATATACGTGTGTGCAGTATATACGTGTGTGCTTTGTGTTTGCACGTGCTCACGACCACGCATGCATGTACCTCAAGTCCTCACCACCCTCACCCAATAACGCACGTCCTCATACTGAATGGTGTTGCCTGTGCCTTGCTCACCACCACCACTTGCTGCTGGTGTTGTGGTCAACCCCCCCCCCCTTGCCTATCAGGAGGAGATGTGGTCCGTGTGGGACACAGTGACGGCTGCACTTGGGCTGCGCACTGAGGTGGACTACACGGTGTACTCGTTTGGCGTGAATGCCACGTGCTTTGGGGTGGCAACACAGCAGCCGCTTGCCACCGACGTCACGTCACAGCTGCTGCACGTCGGCAACTTCAGCCGCGTGGACTTGACGACAGACAACTCCGTTGATGCCGCCATCCACAGCAGCTTCCAGCAGCAGCTCAGTACGTGCAAGTGTGTTTGGATGTGTATGTGTATCTGTATGTGTGTGTGCGCGTGTGTGTATGTTTATGTGTATGTGTGTTCTCGTGTGTGTGTGGGTGCGTGTGCGGCTGTGTTGTTGGTCTTGATATTGCGTCTCTCCTGCTGTGATGCCGTATCTTGTTTGCTGCCCTCACTCGCCCACCACGTTTCTTCTTCGTCACTCACTCACGACTGCACTGCACACCTTTCACTCCCCACAACCCCACCCACGCTTTCCTCGCGTCGTCTCCCGTCTCTCTGCAGTGGAGCGCCTGCCGTTCCCTGCGTCGAGCATGATGTTCTCCATGGACAGCGAGGGCGCGTCACAGTCCCTGCGTCGCGACTCGCAGCTGTCCATCACGGTCACGTTCACGGATCCGCCCGAGCCCACGCTGCTCGCTGGTGGTTCGCCCGGGTACGTGATCCCAGACACACGCTACTCGCTGCAGTTTGAAGTGGACACCACAACAGATGACCTGCCCACCACCACAACCAGCACAACCACAACCACAACCACAACCACAGCCGCAACGACGACCATCACAACCACGGCTGCCGGTGCTGGTGGTGCTGGCAACAGTACGATCACAAACTCTACAGCGATCACTACAACCAATTCGACTTCCGCGTCAAACGCAACAGCTATCTCCACTACGCTTGAGGACGTGGTTCGGTCGCGTGCGCTGCGGGCGCTGAATGACATTGGCATTCCCATCGTCGACATTTCCATCGACGGAACGAAGGTATGGGGCAATGATGATAGTGTGTGTGTGTGTGTGTGTTTGTAGTTGTGGTCATGCGTTCATGTGACGATGGTACTGCTCAGGTGTGCTGATGTGTGTTCTATGTGTGTGTGTGTGTGTGTGAGCTCATGACGTGTTGTCATTCCTTCATCCTGACATGTTGACTTATGTGCACACACAGGTCTTTGCTGTGGCTGTTGAGTTCCCTGCTTCGCACCTTCTGGACCTCAACGACCACCCATATGTCAAGAACGCAACCTTGCGCATTCCTCGTACGTGACGCCGTGTGCACGAGTGAAAGAGCATGCTGACGTTCTTGCTTGGACTGTGTGATGTTCGGTGCCATTACTTCCTTGATATCTCGCGTTAGTGCGTGCTTCCACCACTGCACCTTGTCAGCTTCATTCTCCTTCCTCTCCTTTCCCTCTTCCTTGAACCTCATTCCTGTTCTCTTGTCTTGCGTCGACGTCCCACACCATGTGCTGAACTCATGCCCCCTTCGTTGCGTGTATGCAGTGACGCTCAACTCTGCGCTGACTGCGGAGGACGCTGTTGAGGTTGCACTGCAGCTGGTGCAGAGCGGCATCGTGGCTGGTGAGTGGAATGGCTACGTGTTCACGCCCACGGCTGTGGAGAGCCCCTTCACCACAACGTCCACGACAACGACAACAACAACCACGACAACAACGACGACGGCCAGCACAACTACCACTGCCGAGAACAGCACGACGCTGAGTGGCCCCACGACCACCGCGGGGAGGAAATTCGAGGCATCCTCATCCACAGCTGCTGCGCAGTGGCAGATTGCCGCTGGTGTTCTTGGTGGTCTTGTTCTGCTTGGGGCGTTTGTTGCGTTTGTGATTGTTCGTCGCCGCACGTCTGTTGGAGCCAGCTCTGGCGCTGCGCCCTCGAAGCAGCGCGAAACTGTCTCCTTCACCAACCCAGTGTACGAGGACGCAACTGCCATGCAGCAGGATGACGGGCTGTACGATGATGTTCCGGATGATGCCCAGCAGCAGGAGCAGCTGTACGACGAGCCTGCTGCGCTTCACGATCCAGGCCACGCCGTGTTCAACCCCCTTTACAGCGCCATGTCGACGGACAACATGTTTGAGGAAGACAGCGACACGGAGGATGTGGCAGATCACGAGGCCGGGTACCTGGACGTGGGCGCTGACGTGGACGGAGCCGACGGTGGCGAAGAGCCCACGTATGCTGCCGCCGATCATGACGCCACTGGTTTCGATGGATTTGGCGGTTACGACACCGACGAGTGATTGCTGTGAACTGGTGGCTCGCCCTGTTGTGCCACGCACCCTCAAAATCGTTTTCAGCAGCGAGTGTGCATTGTTGTGCGTCCGTGTGCTTTTTGTTTTCCTTGCTGCCGCCACCGTTGTCACCCACCCTCTTGATGCCTGGCTTGGTTGATTGGTTTTACCCTTGCCTTCTGGTTTGTCTGTTGATTTTGAACCGGCCCAAGCCATGTTCGACGTGCTGCTGTGCTGTTGTCTTGTGTGCACGTGACCTTGCCCACCACCCTGGCATGTTTGTGTATTACTTTTTGTGCGGCTCGCAGCCACCGTTGCAACTGTTGTTGTTCGGGGCGCCTTTTCCTACCACGCACAATCCCTGTTCCTTTGGACGCTGTGTTTCTTCTGGCGCCTGCCGCCCTTGCTCTGCTTGCGTTCACCATTGCACGAAACGCCCATGCTGCGCGAGATGAGGAACTAGAAGGCTGAAGAAGGCGCGAGTGAGAGGATGCAGGATGACATGACATGAAGCACGAGAACAAAAAGACAAAAGCGCCAGCACAAAGAACCCTCGAACCAAAGAACCAACAGAACACAAGCGAGCTCGATAGAGCGATGTGCTTGGGTGCTTGCAAGCGCTCTAAGCGCTGCAGGAGGGTGGGGGGGAAGACCGTCAAGGCGGCGGGTGGGTTTTGCAAAAGACACACGATAGTTTTCCACGAACACGCCTGCCACACATGAATGACCATGGCGATGATGAGCCACAGCAGCAGACACGCGACGTTTTGCTTGACTGTCGTCCCCCTCCTCCTTCTTCTCCCGTTCCTTCTCCTCCTCCTCGAGACTCCAGGGAGGGCAGCTTTTGCCGCCGCTATCGCGCCTGCACCTGCCGTGCCAGCCTCGTGTGTGGACCGCGTGATTTCCTGTGGCGGAAGCGATGTTGCCACCTATGACTTGGTGAGGTGTCTCGAAGCAACCACAGAGGCAACCTCAGCAAACGCTGAACCAACCCAAGATCCTCACAGCAAAGATCAACCGCAGCAAGCAACCACATCATCACCGCACGCCCATGTGCCTGTCACTCCCGGTTACAACACTCATGCAAAGCGGGGGGACCCTGCAAGGGCTGTTCGAGCTGCTCGGCACATTGAGCACCACCCTGACTCTGGCGCACAATCTGACGCACTGGGAGCGGTTGTACTGGAGGCAGACGACGTGGATCGCGAGTGGCACCCGGATCAGCTGCGTGCCCTCCACCACCTGCAACAAACCAACCCTCGCGCCACAGCAGCACAACACACCGTGATTCGCGTTGCAGACGCACTTGGCTATGCCGCCTCGGCCAGTGCCCGTGCACGGCAACCGACCTGGCGACAACAGCAGCGTCAATGGCAGCAGCGTCACAGTCGATCCCACCTTCAAACACGACGGCGCCGGAACGATGTTGGTATCCCAAACCATGCGTGCTTGCTCAAGGACGTGCTCGCGCTCAACTGCACTGCTCGCATCAGGGGTGCGGTTGCCATACACATTGAAGCAGACGACAGCCCAACCAGCCAAGACTTCACGGCGCGCCCTGGATCTGGGCTCAACCTCACCCTCGTCCCTGACCCAGGCACTTCGAGTGGCTACGCCGCTCCAGGCTTGACGCATCTTGCCCAGACGCAACCCAACAGCCTGCAGCTGACAGGCAGCCTCTCCCTGGCGACGGCCGTGTGGATCCTGCAGCACGCCAACTGGACCTCCATCAACGTCCTCAGCCTGTCCGGCGTCACCGATGCGGGTGTCACCGGCAGCCCGTTTGCCATGGTGCAGCACATTCGCACGCTCGCCATCAGGAACAGCCGCGGGCTGCGGTTTGTGATGCCGTCATCCCTGTCCACGCTCACGCAGCTGCAGTCCATCAATCTGAGAAGCAACGGCCTCGAATCCATTGATGAGGGTCTCTTTGCGGCGGCGCCGCAGCTCACAACTGTCGACCTCAGCGCCAACCGCATCACAAACTTGCCAGACAACACTTTTGCACACAACCCGCTGTTGGAGGTGCTCGGCTTGCACAACAACGCCCTAACGCGCGTGTCCGCGCGCGTCTTTGCGGGCTTGTCGAACCTGGTCAACCTGCGGCTGGGCACAAACAGCATCCGCAGCATCGAGCAAGGCGCATTCGACGACCTGACCCGCCTCGAACAGCTCAACATGCACCGCAACCACATTGCGTCGCTCCCGTCCGGCCTCTTCCACCGCACAACGAGCCTCTTTCGCCTCTGGCTCTTCCGCAATAACCTCATCTTCCTCGAAGCAGACACGTTTTCTGCCCTCACTAACCTGGACCTGCTTGACTTGGCCATCAACTCGCTCTCGGAGCTGCCCCTGGGCATCTTCGACAACACCACCCGCCTCAAGGAGTTGCGGCTCTCTGACTGCGGCGTCGGCTCGCTGCACCCGCGCATCTTCCAGCACATGTCGTCGCTTCAGCTGCTCTGGCTCAGCAACAACGCCCTCAACCACGTGCCATCGAATCTGTTCCACGGGCTGACAAGCCTCATCCTGCTCGACCTTGCCAACAACGCCATTGGCGAGCTGAGCGCAGACACGTTCGTGGGCCTGGTGGAGCTTGATGTCGTCTACATGAACGCAAACACCATCCGAAAGCTGCCACCCAACCTCTTTCGTGACACAAAGGGGCTCAAGTGGATTGACGTGCACGACAACGAGCTGACGGAGCTGCCGCCGCTGCTTGTCAAGGGCCTGCCTGCGCTGGAGGAGGTGTACTTCTCTCGCAACGCCATCACCAGCCTGCCCACGGGCTTTTTCTCCGCCAACCCGCGCATCTTGCTGTTCTGGATGGACGACAACCAGCTTCGCTCGCTGCCGCGTGACGCCTTTGCCACCTTTGGCATTACCTCCACCATCTCCCTGCGAGACAACTTCATCACAGACATTGATCCTGCACAGTTTCACGGCGCGGTCCGTGTCCAGCGTATTGACATCTCAAACAACAGGTGCGTTTGTGTTGTGTGAATTGTGTGCTGTGTGTGAGTGTGTGCGTGTGCGTGTGCGTGTGCATATATGTGTGTTCTATGTGTTGTGTGGGTGTGTGGGTGTGTGTGTGTTCTGTGTGTGTGTGTGTGTGTGTGTGTGTGTGTGTGTGTGTGTGTGTGTGTGTGTGTGTGTTCTGTGTGTTCTGTGTGTGCGCACTGCTGCGGTTCGTTACTGACGTGGTTTCGTCGTCATTGCTGCAGCTCCGATCACTTCAGCGCCTTTGTTGGAAGCAGCTCACTCATCTTCTCCCACTTTCCCCTCCTCACACACACATACACACACATTCACACGCACACACATACATACGCACACACATACACATACGCACACATACACATACACATACACATACGCACACACGCGCGCGCGATAAGGTTGACACGCCTTCCCGAGAATGCGTTGGACGGGCTGTCACGCCTCTCCAGTCTCCGTGTTGATCGCAATCGCCTGCGACGGCTTTGGCCGCAGACCTTTGCCACAAACGTGCGCCTACGCCACTTCTCGTGTTCCGGAAACCTCCTCACCCACATCCCGTCTGGTCTCTTCTCAGCCCACCCCGACCTGCACACGCTGGAAGCCTCAAACAACCCGCACCTCACCAGTATCGCTGCGGATGTGTTCCGCCATGCACCAGGCCTGCGCGCTTTCCGCCTCAGCAACACGGCCATCACGCACCTGCCGCCCACACTGCTGCACAACCTCACCTCGCTGGAAGAGGTGCAGCTGTCGCTGGTACGCGAGGCAGCGGCAGGCCGCGATGACGCTCACGCTCACGCCGTTGCCCCGTCCCCGCTCATCACCCTCACAGGTGACCACTTGCGTGCAATGTCACCCGACAGGATGCACTACTTGGCTCTCACCAACGTCGTCCTCACCGCTGAGGCCGTGCAAGTGCTCGGTGAGCGGTTCTCCCTCGCCTCGCTGTTTGTGGGCTGGGCCGGCCTGAGCGACGACAGCCCGCTGCTGCCGGCCATGTGCAGTGCGCTGCAGCAGAACGTGCGCGACCTCTCGATCCGCTTCACCAGCATCACCACGCTGCACGCATGCCCGCAGCACAACATCTCCTCCCTCCACCTGCAGGACAACCACGCCCTGGCAACGGTGTTTGCGGGGCCACTGAACCACCTCAACGCCTCCGGGTGTCACGATCTGCACACGCTTCGCTCCCCATCCATTGGCATTCTCGACATCTCCGACACCAACATTGCATACTCGTCGCTGCTGTGCCGCTTCTTGGGCACGCGCATGCTGTTTGCACGCCGCCTGCACCATCCATCCTTCAACCAGGCTGCTGCGTCGCAGCAGTTCCTGCGCTCGTGCCTCTCCCGCCTGCAGGTGGTTGACGTGTCCCAGAACAACTGGCTCAACAACCTCGATCTGGTGACCAGCGCCGCACGCGCGCAGACGGTGCTGGGCCCCGCAGACGCCGATGCTGCAGGCAACAGCGTGGGCAACATTTGGAACTCCAATGACGAGACCATCACCGAGCGCAGCAGCGCCCCCTTGTTTGCGTTGGAGGGCAGCCCTGTCCAGTGCCGCTTTGAGCTCATCCCGCTGCGCATTCGCCGCAGCGTCATGGACGCCCTTGTCACGGAGATTGGCTACACCTTCAACTGTGGGTGCGCGCCGCAGTTTCGCAGGCAGGGCGGGCAGTGTGTGCCCGACGCGCTCACAGCTGCCGAGCTTACGGGCATTGTGGTGGCGGCTGCGCTGTTTGGGCTGGCGCTGGGGCCCTGCCTATTTGCCATCTACCGTCGCCGTCAGCGCAGCAGGGCATACCGCGTACAGCTGGAGTCCGAGAACGAGTTGCAGAAGCGCCTGATTGAGGAGAAGGATGAGGAGGTGATGGCGCTGAAGAAGGCGTGGGAGATTGGCTTTGATGAGCTGCACCTGGTGTCACGCATTGACGCTGGGTCGCCAGGAACGTTTGGCGAGGTGTGGCGAGCAGACTGGGACACGGTACAAGTTGCCGTGAAGATTTTGCGTGAAGGCATCATGCTCATGGACGAGAGCACCGTTGCCGAGTTTGGCAGGGAAGTGGAGTTTCTGCAGCACACCCGGCACCCCCACGTCGTTCGCTTCTTCGGCGCCGGCACAACGCCAACAGGGTCACCCTTCCTCGTGCTAGAGCTCGTTGCGTTTGGGTCCTTGCAGTCGCTCCTGCGACGTGACTTGGCAGAGGTGCTGCGGTCTGTGGAGGGCGATTCTGCTGTTGGCCCTGACAACCACAACGACAACAACCATGTGCATGGCACGGTTGATGACACCGCTGCTGTCATCCCCAACACCCTTCTTGCTGAAACCATTGACGTGCGCGACAATGACGGTGGTGACGATGGCAGTGGTACTGGTGATGCACTCGACAGCAACAGCAGCAGCAACAGCAGCAGCAGCAGTAGTAGTACATCTGAACCTGTGCAGGAGGATGCAGACGCTGCCGCGGTGTGGCGGCTCAAGGCTCGCCTGATGCGGGACATTGCCTACGGCATGGCGTTTATCCACAGTCTGGGCCAGCTCCACCGGTACGGGTATTGCACGCTGTTGTGTTTGTGCACATGTATGTGGTTTGTGTGGCATGCATGCATGTGTTTGTGTGTGTGTGTGTGTGTGCGTTTGTGTGTGTGTGTGTGTGTGTGTGTGTGTGTGT